TAAGGACTGCTGTTCAACTGAAACATCAGTGAAATTTAAATTTGCTTCATAATTATGAATTTACAATAAAGTATATTATAATTTTAACAGTTAAAACCAATCAAACCCATGTAATGAAAAACAAATGATAACTACTTCTAGCAGAACACAGTAAAAAGAAAATTTTTTAAACAGCATGTGATTTTTTTAATATTAAAGTAGGGATGAGCCGGATACTCGTTTCAGACGAGTATCCGGTACGGATAAAGCATTTTTGACGAGTACGAGCATGAAACGAGTAAAACTCGTAAATATCTGTAATCGTGCTGAAGGAAAATCCTCATTGGGTAACTGACTGTCTTCATGCTCTGTGATTGGCCAGTCAAATAGAGCGCCCGCCCCTCCCTACACACAAAACTCAGCAGCCAGGAGCTCACAGCTCAGTCTATGTCCGGTCCATCCACACACACACACACACACACACACACACACAGTAACGGATCTCTCTGTGCCTGCTTCACTGTTCACGTTTCTTCAGTACTCCCCATGTTTTCTTCATTTTGCTTCTTTTTAAAGTTACTTTAAAGTTATTTAAAGTTACTTTCTCCGTAACGTACGTGGTGCATTTGACAAGACAGAGCTGAAAATGGCTCGTACTGCGTCAGTCACTGCCTCCGCTCCGGTCGGGTTTTTTTTCCTCTTTCTCTCTTCCTCGGGATCCACTCCCTCTTTCCTATTCACTCTCTCTCTTTCGTTACATTTTTAATCACAATTGTCTATTTTTTGCTCATTTTAAATATATTTTAATCATTTTCTAAATTCTTTTTTCTATTTTACGTTTTGTTTTTGTGAAGCGCCCCGTGATTTTTATCTTTAGAGGCGCTATAGAAAATATCTTTTCTTCTCTCTCTCTCTCTTAATTCATGCACTTAAATACTAATGTTCTGATTTTATTGAAAAACTTGTTCTGTAATAGTTCCTTTACTATTGTGATCAAAAACATTTAATCTCAACTCTGAGGCTGCTCTGTAAATAGTTTTCAAATAAACAATACACATATCAACTTCTGATCAGACTTAAAATAACGTATTGATGTAAACCACACCCACCTCCGGTTAAACTACACCCACTTCCGGGTTAGGCCGCGCCCACTCCAAGTACAGATACAGATATAGATAAGTTAGATGGTTGAACAGATACAGATACAAACACAGATAGTGGTGTACTCTCTCATCCCTATATTAAAGCAACCCACATTAATGATGATGTATCATAAAGTGTAGGCATGTGTAATATGTGCAGCCACTGATGGCTTCTTAAGCAGTCAGCTTGACTAAGAAGCTCAGAGGAATACAGGATCCAGGATTAGACTGTGTTTATTCAAGAGTCTGGTGTTTTTAAAAAAGAAGCTGCTTGTCAGTGGTGTGATCCGTGATTTCCTGCAGCATTTTTCAGCGAAGTAGTGTGAACAGGGAAGGCCTTTATTCATGATCACATGCTGGTGTGAAGTCGGGGGCAGCAAGGCCTTTTCTGCACGCCTAAGCATTATTAGATTCACCAACCAAAATCTCCAACTTTAAGTCCCATTAATCATCGCACACTTGTGAAATTCATCTCTGCATTTGCTCCATCCCTGTGGGGAGCAGTGAGCTGCAGCTGTGGTTGTGCTTGGGAAGTATTTGCTGGTTCACCTTCTCAGTGGCAGTGGTAGAGCGTCCGCCCTGGGACTTGGAGATTGAGGCTCCAATCCCAGTCGGGTAATACCAAAGAGTTTAAAAATGGGACCCAATGACCTCTTTCTTGACACTCAGCTTTATGGAAGGTGATTGGGGGTTAAACCACCAAATAGTTCCCGAGCGCATCCATAGGGATGGGTCAGAAGTGAAGATGAATTTCATCAGTGTGTGATGATGACTTTGGGACTTTAACCCCCCCAATCCAGCTTCTTAAAGCTGAATTGGTATGGAGACACGCAACACCATTATCCATCATTGCAATAGTTTAATCTCTATTCTTATTCTCCTCGATCTGAGTGCGGCCTTTGACACCATTTCTCATCCCATCCTCCTCAATAGACTCTCTTCCTTAGGCATCACTCACACCCCCCTCAGCTGGTTTCAATCTTACCTTACTGGCCGCACTCAGTTCATCCAGTTAAAATCCTTTACCTCAGAACCCTCCCCAGTCAAGTCAGGTGTGCCCCAGGGCTCTGTCCTGGGGCCCCTCCTCTTCATAGTATACCTCCTCCCTATCGGCAAAATCTTCCGCAAATTCAATATCCAGTTTCACTGCTTTGCAGATGACACCCAGCTCTACATTTCCAGTAAGCCCAACTCAACTCTCCCACCATCCTCCCTTACACTCTGCCTCTCTGAAATCAAATCATGGTTCACCTCTAATTTCCTCAAACTCAACGGCAATAAAACTGAACTTCTTCTAGTTGGCACTAACTCCACCCTCTCAACATCTGACAGCTTTTCTTTAACTATTGACAGCGCCATAGTCTCCCCCTCCCCTCACGTCAAGAGTCTGGGTGTCATTCTTGACAGCTCACTTTCTTTTCAAGCTCACATTAATAACTTAATTCGGTCAGCATACTTCCATCTACGTTCCATTAACTGTCTCCGTCCCTCACTGACCCCTCACACTGCCGCCATTCTCGTCCACAGCCTCGTCACCTCCCGTATCGACTATTGCAATTCACTTCTTTATGGTCTCCCCAACAAACTCCTTCATAGACTGCAAATGGTCCAGAATTCAGCAGCCCGTATTATCACCAGAACCCCTTCCTTTCACCACATCACGCCGGTTCTCCAGCAGCTTCACTGGCTCCCAGTTAAATTCAGGTCCATCTTCAAAATTCTCCTCCATACCTTCAAAGCAATCCACAACCTCTCTCCTCCATATATCTCAGACCTTATAAGTATTCACACCCCGTCCCGTTCACTCAGATCTTCTTCTTCCATCCATCTTGCGGTTCCTTCTGCCCGTCTCGCTACCATGGGGAGCAGAGCTTTCAGCCGCTCTGCTCCCCGTCTCTGGAACTCACTTCCCCCAGACATCAGGAACATCGACAGTTTTACCCTTTTCCAATCAAAACTCAAAACTCACATGTTTAAATCTGCTTACAACCTCTGATTTTATTGAACTGTTTCTTTCTTTGTTTTTTCTTGTTTGGGTTTTATTATTGTTTTATTGTATTTTATTACGTGTTTTCTGTAAAGTGACCTTGGGTGTCCTGAAAGGCGCTTTGAAATAAAATGTATTATTATTATTATTATTATTATAAGGGCTTTCCAACAGCCATGCAAGGACGAATGAAGTAGAGCCCACTTTTCTAAACATCCGAACAAGACGGAGAGCGCAAGGTTGGACTTTTCACACTGGTAAATCTGGAGTGTTACACCAACACATTCTCACACTTGAAGCAGCTGAAACTGACGAAGGGTTACCAAGCATTTGTTTCTGACTCGTTGGGGCTCCCAGCGTGTCGGGAGGCGGTGCGCTGTGTCAGAGCATCGCTTTCCGACGGGGCTCCCAACGCGTCGGAAACAAACGCTTGGTCACCCTTCGTCAGTTTCAGCCGATTCTGGTGTGAGAATGTGTTGGTTACACACACTGTAGGTTTCTTTCAGTACTCCTTAAACTAAACCTTCGGTTGTTTTATTTCTTCTTTCTTGTGCTTCTGGTTCTAGTGGGAATTGGAGTCGACAGGGCAATTTAGCATTTGACTGTATGTCCAAAATGGTCTCCTAACACATGGATTTTCTGCCTCCTGATCACGTGACATACGCAGATGAAGATCAAATTTAAAGCTGTGATGTTTGTTTTCTTGGTGCGGGGGCTCGTTCCGACGCCCGCCTAGTAAAAAAAAAAAAATGCAAATGACGACTTTAGTTCATCATTAGACCCATCTACTTCCGGACCATGGACCCCCAGAAGAACGAAACAATGAATTCAAGTCAGTGGGGCTAAAATTGCTATTTTATAATTCCACTTGTTATGTGCTGGAACTGTTGACCTTAAGCTCTTGTGGTGAGAACAATATTTTTTTGTTACCACAATGCATTTATTCCTAATATGTAGATTGGACTTTGGTCTGGAACTAAAATTAGAATTTAGATTCTAATGTCATACACCGCTAGTTTTAGTGGAGCCATTTTTTGGTTTGTTTGTTTTGTTCTTGAGAAAAGTGACTGTTCTTTTGTCACACATGGACAGCTGTGTAGGCTTCCTGCACTTGTAAGTTGCACCTGTATTGGCTAACATTGGGACAGATTTGCCCAATTTAACGTTCAGCAATCGTTGTGTGTTGGCGTTTGCTGTTAAAGTTGGTAATTGTCTGTCTCAACCCTTGTTTTGATGCTCGTGGGATTAACCAGGCCTCTTCCTCTTCCCCGGTTTGGTTGTGCTCCATGACCGTGCCGAAACCATTCAGAGTTTGGAAATGGATTTTAACCATTTCAAACCAGGTGCTCCATTCGACCGCTTTTCCAGCATGCAGGTGAACGTGGAGGTAGTTTTTGTTGTGCTCAGCCTTGAGGACTGGGGAAATGTTCTGCCTATCAGGCTTAAGTCTACCAGGTAGATTTGGGTAAACATTAATAACAGGTGAGGGCAGGGTCACGGGGGCTGCAGATGTTTGGTCTGGCTTCCTGGTGTTACAGTCATTATGGTGTTGGACCACTGCTGCCTGCGTTTTTACCTTTTTATGAAGCGTTGTGACATTCTTCTGCAAACACTCATCCCGTCCCATAGTCTTGTTATTGTGTCTCTGATAACGGTTCACTTCACGAAACACATCGAAACTCCGCGCGAGCCACTGAGTTCAGTGCAGCTAGCTTTTCTGAGCCTGGCTGACCTTATGGGCTTATTTGCCCCAGCAGTGTTAGATGAATGAATTCATATAAAACTTGAAGAGATATTTATGAACAAGCATTATTACAACTTGTAAAGTATGCATCAGTAATTAAATTCATTTCTGTCATTATACCCCACCTTTTCTTTTTTGTACTCTGCAGTTTCATCTTGCATTACCACTTACAAGAAAACCCCTCCTCCAGTGCCACCCAGGACCTCCACTTGCTCCACAGCCACTAAACCGTACATCTCCATCACGGCTCAAAGCAGCACAGAATCGGCACAGGTACACAGTGGGTCAAAGTTTCATCCCCGCTACGTCTCTCACACCCTTATCTGTGTCACAACAGATGACATCATTACAGGTCATTTGTGTAATAGTCAGTGATATTGTATTTGGGAACAGGTGATGCGTGAAGACCAGGTCATGTGTTATAACAGGTGTGGAGTGACTAATATAATGTGTTATTACAGGTAATCAGTTGTGTTTGCAGTTCAGTCAGGAATAATGAAAAAGGGAAACGCCAGAATGCTGGTCAGAAACTCAGATCATCTAATGGTTGTGCTGAACCGTGTAATAGAACGTTTTATAACCAGGGCATTTGTTATGATAGGTTGTGTTGTTACAGGTGATATGTGATAACAGAGGTGTGTGACAGCAGCTGATGTGAGACCAGAGGAATCAATATTTTAGAACATCCAGCATGCATTATGGTAAATGGCCTGTTTATATAGTGCCTTCTAGGGTTCTACAACCCCCCAAGGTGCTTCACAACACATCCAGTCATTCACTCACATTCACACGCTGATGGCGTTGAGCTACAATGTAAATGATAAATGATAAATGACCCGCACTTGTATAGCGCCTCTCAGAGTAAGGACCCCAAAGTGCTTTACACTACATTCATCCATTCACACACTGATGGTGATGAGCTACGATGTAGCCACAGCTGCCCTGGGGCTCACTGACAGAGGCGAGGATGCCGAGCACAAGCGCCACCGGTCCCTCCGACCACCACCAGCAGGCAAGGTGGGTTAAGTGTCTTGCCCAAGGAGACAACAGCAGAATTCTCTGTCCGGAGCCGGGATCGAACCTGCAACCTTCCGATTACTGGACAACCCGCTCAACCTGTTGAGCTACTGCTCCCCCAATGTAGCCACAGCTGCGCTGGGGGGGTGCTGACGGAAACGAGGCTGCCCAGCACTGGCGACATCAATCCCGCCGACCACCACCAGCAGGCAACACGGTTAAGTGTCTTGCCCAAGGACACAACAACCTCGACAGACTGAGCAGGACTGGATCAGGCAGCTATCCGGTTACGAGTCGGGCACTCAACTCCCCAGCCACCGTCATCCCCCAGAACCAGCTCTCTCCTCTCGGACAATCAGACCCATTATCTCTTGTTTTGTTTTACATATCCCCCCCTCATCACACTTTGGCCTGAGGAAGCACTGTCCCAGCTGCAGAACGCTTTCAGGACCACTGAATGGGATCTGGTCAATCCGGGTGATTTGGAGGAATATCCAGAAGCTGTTGTGTTCTACAGCAGAGGCTGTGCAGACAAAGTTAGAGTCCATAAACAAATCTGCTGTCAAACAGACAACATGGATGAAAGGGGAGATCCAGAAACTTCTATAGAGATCAAAGAATGTCATCAGAGCTGAAATGAGAAGCGGCAAGCAAACACGAAAAAAATGAAGACCACCCAGTGGCGGCTCCAGAAATGTTTTTCTGCAGGTGATATGAAGGAGCTAGTCTTTTTATTGAGGGTGCTATGAAGGAAGTGGTCATGCGTACCTATTGTTCTCTAAAACACCTTCAACACTAGCAGGTACACATGCGTGCACAACACCTCAACAACACCTGAAACAATCATTAATATACATCATAAACATATGAACAATCGCTGACTTTTCCATGAAATCCTAAACACATACAGCCACACAGAAAACCACGTATAGTGTTGCAAGGTTAGCTAACATTAGCGTTAGCATTTCCAGCGGCAAAAACCTGGACTGCTGCGGCGGTTGAGGGTTGACTCACTTCATCCAGATCCGTAGGTTTTTGTGGATCTGAGATCACTTCCAAAGATTCATTCATTTCTGACTGAACCCGTGGAAATGTGGGCAACAAAAACCGATCCATTTTACCACTAGCTCTACCTTTCACTCGTTCACAGGTGGAAAACGAGGTCAAAGGTTAACATCAATTTCCTGTTTTGGTTTAGATTTTTACTATCTATATGATAATTTACTGGTTATTTTTGTTTTGTATGTTAAATATTAACACATCCACACGTTAACTAAAAATTAAATTGTAAAAAAATAAATCTAATATTTACTTGGGGGTGCTATGGGGGTGCAATGACTAATCCAGGGGTAGCTATAGCGCCCCCTAGCACCGCCCTGGCACCGCCACTGAGACCACCTAACAAACCATGATCCACGCAGCAAAGAGGGCAGCAAATCACAAACTACAAAAATAAGTCCAGCTCAGCGCTCACTGACACAGCACTGGCTGAGCTGCTTAACTGCTTCTTTGCAATGTTGGGAGTTATTTTCTCAAATACCAAAAACCTGTGACCTTTATGGTATCCTTGAGCAACTTCCCCTCATTTTTAACGTATCTTTATGTATTAGCTGGTTCCGTGGTTTTTTTCATGGGCTGCATGTTTCTTTTTAAGGTGGCAGACTAGGACTGAATGCAGACACTGAAGGGAAAAGCCAAAAACGAAAGAAGAAGACGCTTGTTTTTAAGGTGTCACATAGATTCGCAGTGTTGAATGCAGCTCTGGCTTTTCCATCATGTAAAATTCCCAGTGTGCACACATTACAATAGGCTGCTCCAAACACACCCACATCACCCCGCTTCTCCTCCAGCTTCACTGGCTGCCAGTCAACCTCAGGGTTCATTTCAAGATCCTGGTTCTGGTCTATAGGGCCTTACATGGACAAGCACCATCTGACATTGGTGATCTTCTTAGTCCCTACACCCCCAGCAGGTCCCTGAGGTCCAGTGATCAAAGCCTACTGGTTGTGCAGCACCAGGCTAAAGACCACAGGTGACAGATCATTTGCTGCTGTGGCCCCCAGACTCTGGACCTCTCTCCCCCTGAGCCTGAGATCAGTGGACTCAGTGGTCTCCTTTAAAAAGCAGCTGAAGACTCACTTGTTCAAGCTGGCTTTTGTATGACCTTCTTCTCCACTCTCTCTTTATTCTGCTCTCCCCACCTATTCCACCTTCCTCAGGATCCACTGATTTCCCTCTTTCCTATTCCCTCTCTCTCTCTCTCTCTCTCTCTCTCTCTCTCTCTCTCTCTCTCTCTCTCTCTCTCTCTCTCTTTCTTTCTTAACATTTTTTGAATCACAATTGTCTATTTTTTTGCTCATTTTAAATATATTTTTAAACTTTTTCTAAATGCTTTTTTATATTTTTACATGTTTTGTTTTTGTGAAGCGCCTCGTGATTTTTATCCTGAGAGGCGCTATAGAAATGACATTTTCTTCTTCTTCTGCTGCTGCTGCGCCACTTTCGCCACTATTGAGTTTAATTACGTCCAAACAGAAGACAGTTTAGCTCTCATGAGGCGACACATTAGCTCTGCATCAGCATGCTAGCCAACAGCTCAGTGTTATGTTGTCTAAATCTCTTAGTGCTGTTGATGTCCATCCAATGACTATTGATGTAGAGGAACTTGTTAAAGTATAAACTAAGTCCTTGTTATTTAATTTGTAAATCTCTTCCTCAGGATGAACGATGCTTGTGGTTTTATGTTGTATTATTGTTTTATCACATCTTTTCCACTCAATTCTGATTGAAAAAGACCTGATCAGAAACCAGGCCTGATGTTGGGATCAGATCGGTGCATCCCTTTAAAGTATACCTCAGGTGTTGGTAGATGTTTTACGTTGACTTATCACAACAGTCTTTCTGCACAGTTGACATTTATGACAATGTCCTCATTGAATCCCAATTTTTACCAGATGACTTATAAAGCATATTTTTGGCACAAGCTTCTCAACCAGTTCTGCCGCAGAGGCCGCTCTCTGCCAGCTACTGCTTCAAGATCTGAATCACCTCCCATGTCCTCACCGTCTTTCCTGTATTGTTACAGACTGCATGTCCACCCAGTCTGTAATGTAGTACAGCAACTTAAAGGGACATACCCCAACACCAAAACATACCGACGCGGGCAAAAAGCTGTCGGATACACTCGTAAAATTTGGTTTTGGTAAACGTTTGGTTTATCGCCCACCAACAGGTAATGTGGGGAAAGCAGGTGAATTGTGATAAAGTGGTGCTTTAAAACCAGGTGATGTGTATTAATAGGGTGAGTTGTTAGGACAGGTGATGTGCTATAACTGGTGATGTGTAACCCCCAAATTCCACTACCTCCGCTCCGCTCCGGCACGAACTCCGCAGCAAAATCGGTCCCGTTGTAGTCAATCAGAGCAATTCCACTACTGCGGCTGTGCTCCGGCAGTGCGCCGCCCTCTGTTCCGGCGTCCGGCAAAAATAGAATCGATCCTATTTTTGCCGGACGCCGGAACACCTCCGCAGTCAATGGACAGGAATCACAACCGCCCAACAGGAAAAGGAGCAAGCACAACTTCCGTTTTTCACAATAAATCGATAAACAAAAGGCGTTTTTTGTTTCATATGCACAGGTTTAACAACTTTTAACAACTATCAATGGCGGCTGAACTTTAAATGCACAAAAATAAGCCATAAATACAGTTTCCACTATCAAAGTAGTCACACTTTGTTGTTCCAAACACTGCTGATCTCTCAACACAAATGATGGGCAGATTAAACAGTTCATGCCGATGCTTCTCCCACACAACGGGCGTTTGGATCTAATTTCCGCGTTTATTGCTCGGACTGTATCGCAAGATCTCGAAAATCCCACGCATGCTTGTTTGCCCACCTCAGCTCTCCGCACCGGAGTGGAGCCGTTGTAGAGCGGGTACCAGTAAAAATTGAGTTCGGAAGCGAGCGGCTGCGGAAGGCGGGGGTGGACCGGAGCGGAGCTAGTGGAATTTGGGGGTAATACCCAGGTGATAGCAGTTGATGTGGGTAAACAGGTGAAAACCAGAGCCTTCATTTATCAGATGTTTGTAGACTGATGATAAATCCCACATGTGGGTAGCCAGGTGCTCAAGTCTGTTCGGTCATTTGCAAACAGAAACGCTCTCGATTAACCACATTTGGTGTCACCACATCCTCTAAAGCTCATGCAGAAAATCCCTGCATTCCTCCCAAAAACAATGGCCAAGAGAGCAAATGAAAGAAGCTTCACTGACAGCGATATTGTGGCACTGGTTTCCCAAGTTCAGCTCAGGAGCATTCAGTCAACAAAGAAAGCCGCCTGAGAGCAAGTGGCAGAGGCGGTGAATGTGGAGGTCCCTGTTGGAAATAAAGACAAAATGGTTCGACACAAAACTGAACAGGAAAACTCCTCAATCTGTCAATAACTGAATATGGACTGGAATCAGATTGGTGTGATTTGTCTGTCGCTCTACAAAGGGCCCCGTCACAGCTAGGATCTCCTTCAGGAAGCGGTACCTGCTCAGGAGCCACTCTGGATTCTCACCAAGCAGATCAGTGTGCTCATGGAAGACGCGTTCCCTCCAACGTCACGCTCTGCCAAGTCCTCCAATAACACAAGATCATCCATGCTACAATGTCGAACGATGCATATAATTATTCTGATGCACTAAATGTGCGTAGATCAATGCGTAAGTGCGGCTGGCAAATGAGGGCCCAGGAAGGTGTGAGATTACTATGTGAAGTGTGTTAACAGTATAGGTGTGAGAAGAGTTCATGCTTGAAAACCATGTGCGATAACAGGTGATGCGTGGAAGCAGGTGACAGGATATAACCTCATGATGTTTAATTACCGGTGGTATGTTAGATTACAATGTGCTGAGCAAGAAACGTGTAATGTGATTACAGCTCATGTGAGATAAGCAGGATTTATTTTATGACACAGTGTTACCCTGAAGCTCTTAACATAATTATCAATCGTCTTTATGTCTGATATCGCCTTTTGTCGTCTTCTTGCCTCTATGTATTTTATATTTACATCATAACTGACTGCATGAGCCATTGACTCATCTGTTTATGAAACTGTGTAATTTTCAAAGTTATATATTCTTTCTAAAGCAATTGATGGTATCATGTGAAACCAACCAGGATGCGTACATGGAGGAGGAAGGACACAGAGGAGACATGACGATCCAGTCTGGCCTGAGCAACTCGACAGAAAGCATTGACAGCATGAAGGCCTTAACAGCTGCCATAGAAGCTGCAAATGCTCAGGTTGGAGCTTTTACACATGGCCTATGATTGCAGAACATTTGTATTGTACAGTAAACCGTAACATTTTTATGAAATACGTGATCATTTAATTTCATTATACTGAATGTGTTCTCTCATTGTTTGTTTGAAGATCCATGGACCAGCCAGTCAGCATGTCGGTAACAGCGCCATGACCGTCAGTGCTCCCAGCTCGTCAGTTCTTTGTAGGGGGCAAGTTGTTGAAGACCACCACGATGATTACAGGAAAGAAGCCTTCAGGAAGGGCAAATGTCTCTCCATAGGCATCCAGGTGCAATGACACTAATCCTTCACAGCTGGGTTTTGGTTTGGGACCAACAAGCAAAAGCTTTATTCAAACAATTATTAGTTTTTGTATTTGTATTTATTTTTCCGTCATAACAAATACATATAAAACACATGAAAAGGAAAATAATTATCTAATAAAGAACATAATAATAATTATCACAGGTACAAATTCCTCTTGTAAATTAAACAGTTTCTTTAGATATAATTCATGAGCGAAAAGGTAAAGGCTGAAGTTAAACTTAGTTCAAGAATTACAAAATAAAATACTAAAACCTTAAAAGGAACCCAGGTTACAAAATTTTGTGGTTCTTAAAAGATAAATGTTAGTATCAGTTATATTAAAATGGTGTAAAAAAAACCTTCTTACTGTCTTCATTTTTCTAAAATTTTTTGAATTGGAGGTGTATTCCATTGTTCATCATTGATTGTTTATTTTTGTGAACCCCCCCCCCCCTCTTTTGTCTCTTCCTTCTTCTTTCACCTCTGTCTCCGTGTCCGGTCAGAATTACAAAGCATTCAAAAATAATAACAATAAAGTTTTAAGTATCAGGCGTGACATTAAAGCAGACGCTTTGATGCTCCACCTGAGAGTAAATCTGTAAGGCATGTCGCCAGCATTCAGACATACATTCTGTTCGCTTCACAGCCAGACAGGACACGGTAAAAAAAAATTTGGTAAAAATTGTTTAACTCGTAGGTCGCCGTTGTTGTTAGCGTCGCAATGCACTCTGGGTAGTGACATCATATGGTTGTGCCTCGGTTGCACCGGCCGGCTTTGGGACCCTGTAGTGACTGTTCAGCGACATCAACGTGTCATATTTGAACCAGAGTGAAACATTAATGAGGACATCACTGACCATGTTTCACAAAACGAGCAAAAACATGAAGAGCAGGAAGGGCGGGATGAAGCGAGAGCAGGACAAAACCGGTGGTGCGTGTGCGGCAAATGTGTCTCCATGGTAACCGAGAGGGAGAGTGTTTGTTTACAAGATCTCACATTTTCGTCAGCAGAAGTTAACGGTAAGCTATCGTGTGATCAAACTTATTCAATTATGAATGATTTTGAGGAATATTAGCATCCAGAGCTGTCGTGTGCTTCATAGATGATTAGCATATTCAGTGAAACCACTTTAATCATTTTTGCAGATATTACATATTTGGAGAACACCGAATTGCTGCACTTACTGCTTGGTTTACTGACGGGAGAGGTGAATGTTCAGCTTCATCCATGACAAGTGGCGTGTCCAATGGTTCGCCCAACATGACAGAAGCGGAAGCTGCAGGAGAGCGTCCAGCGTCTCCGAGGGCGTTTAGGCTCCTTGTGTGGGAAAATGGTCGGTAAAGCATTTAGTTTCTGCCTTCTCTTATACCCAGCCGCTCTGGGGAACTCTTTAAGTAGTTGTGGTCGACTATAAGCCTCGAACGCATCAGGAGAAAATTTTTGGGAACACAGATGCGGATCTTTGGGAAGTTGTGTCCGTCCACGGGCATCTTCCCACTGCTTTCTCCTCTTCTTGCCAGTGGGAAAGCTGTGTAAACTCACATCACTCCCCTTGTTGCCCTTTGACTGGAAATTACATCCAAAAGCAGCACAATGCTGCATTTTATTTAATTATTAATACGATGAGCACGTAAACAAACACTAGCGTCAATAGCTTTTCTTCCAAGCACAACCGATATACGTCATCGCCCCCAGAGTGCATTGCGTGTGGAAAGCATGGCGTCCTATGTATGTCCAAAAATGTACTAAATATTATAGATTTATAAATAAACAGCTATATTTTGTGTAGCAATTAATACATATTAATTATGACCAATACAATGTGATGATTCCATACAAATATGAAATATCAATCTGATTGATCTTTTAATATTTAATCAGAAGATTCTAGGGTTCTTTGTTTATTCAGGGACCTTAAACACACTTCGTATTAATTCAGACAAAGTCAGTATATAGTTTATAAAATGAATTTAATTATTTTTCCTAAACTAATGATTATACATGACGAGATCTGAATAATGAGATGTGATGGAGTGGATATGCAGTGATGGAATGTGAGGTGTAGGTGGTGTGATGTAAGTTAGATGTTAATCAGAATCTTTGTATCTGAAAGAAATTGTGAAATCTGGGTGTAAAAGAATTTGTTGTTTGTTATAAACTTGAGAGTTGTTTATTTATAAATCTCACCAGACACCAGTGTGCAGGCTTACGATACCCTTGTATGAGTTGCTCCCGGCGGTCCGGAGGTTTGCGGTCCGAGTGGTGAGGTCACCGGACGTCGAAACCACGATACTCAGAGATTAGTAGCTTCCTCTGAGTTCGGCTTCCCCGGCCATGAGATGCAACCCGAGGTCTGCAGATCAGGTGTCCAAGGTGGATGTCTGAGCTGAAGTAGCTCTGAAAGGAGCTGTTGTGTCTGTAATCCCTTGCAGCGTCGCAGAAAGGTTTTGACTTAAGGTCAAAGGAGGTTGTTTCAAAAGAGGCTTCTTTCCCGATTTGGCCGAATCGGGGTCAACTGGAAACTGAATTAATCGGGAAGTAAATCCTGTTTTAATAAACCACAATATTATAATCAGAATGTACCATATCTGGAAGGCTTTACCAAAACATTCCTCAGAAAGCCACGCCTTCCTTAAGATACAAGCTTCTTAATTCTGTGAATAAAGAATCTTTAAATGTTATGTGAGGTGAACCTTAACCTTAATTTGTATCTTATGAAGATGTGTATGAGTGTAGATAATGATTAACTAGTTAAATCAAACATACTGATCATCTGCAATGGATCTGCCATGGATCATTGTAAGAACAATATTCATTAATTTAAGCACAGGTCATTCAATCATTTCATTTAAACATCTTATTGATTCATCACTTATGATTATTGTAAGCTTATGAGTTGTAAAAGTTCTGTAGGACTTTTTTTCAGAGTGAGGAATTCAGCAGTCTGACTTTTAGCAGAGAGGTATGCAGGGTCCGAAATTAAATTTTTTACTCACCGGCCAAGTTGGCCGGTAGATGATGAAAATCTACCGGCCAAGCATATTTTTTACCGGCCAAAATTCTAAATGATTTAGATCTACCTAAAGCATGTTATTCTATATTATGTTGATTCCAAACAGAGTGACAAAATGATTAAAACATCAATTAATAAGAAAAACAACTCTTTTGTCATTTGTACTATTTATTTATTTATTTTTAGAGATGTTTTTATGAACTCTTTCATTGAAATCTAGTCAGACTCCTTGTTTTCTCTGTCCATGAAGTCTGGCCTCCTGCTTCTGACACCGTCTTTGTGCCAAAGCATTACAGCCTCATTTGGGTCCTAGTCCTTGATCTCTGGAGAACACAGCTGCACCATGAGAATATCTGAAAGTGTGTCAGGGCTATGGTTGTCACGGTAACCGGTGTAGCGGTAACCCCCGGTAAAAAAGTTGACAATAATAATAACCGTCTTGTTTTTTAAACCATACATTATCTCGGTGGATTACCGTGGCTGCGGTGTAGGCGCGGTGACCCTTACCAGCCACCGTATCATCTGCTGAAGTTGCCGGCGGCACATGCGCACTTTGTTGTTTACAACCAAAACTTTCTTTAAGCTAAAGCTGAAATAATGGCCAAAGGAGGAGACAGCAGCGCTCAGGACATTTATAATCCCTCAAAGAAGACAAAGTCGGAAGTATGGGCATCTTTTGGATATTTGAAGAATGCCGAGGGACAGTTGTCTGTGAAAGGCAGCAACGCTACGTGGCCATCATAATGTAGCCATTGTCTCACGACTCCGCCATCTCCAGTTCGCCACTTTTCACAAAATCTTCTGGTTGCCACTGGTCCTGGTGGTTTTTCTTCCAGTTCGACGAGTTTTCTTTTGGAAGGCTGGCTGACTCCAGTTAAAAACTGCCACATTTCACCGCTAGTTTTAACACGAAGCTAACTGCTAACTTGATAAACTGAATGGGATAGGTGGAAATGACGTTGGATGCAGCGTTCACGTTTCGCGTACGTTTGTGTACGTTGCATGCAGGCGGGAGGAGTATCAGAAATCCATGGAAGATGACTGATAAACATAACTTATTTGGTGCAAACATTTACTCGCCATGTGGCAGATAGAGCTCAAAAATTTACTCGCCAAATGGAGCAATTTGCTCGCATTTGGCGAGTGGCGAGTGTTAATTTCGGACCCTGGAGGTAAGGCTTTTGCGTCTGGTGAGACCTTGACAGTTTATTTATGTCTGCGTTGAAGAACAATGAGTGAGAAAAAGTTTGATTTGTGCGTCTGGATCCTCCAGCTGCCGCAATCGTGACCCAGCAGTTCCAGCGAGCATGAAAGGTTTTGCTGTGCCAGTTCAATGGTGGAAATTGACCCTTTTTATTCATTACATTTGTGTGTTTCTAACAACATTGTTTGATACAACAGAAAACGTGTGGCTTGTTAGGGCATACACGTCCTCATAGCCGGAGTTCCTTTTAAAGACCAAATTCACTAAAAAAATAGTTTTCTGCATCTGTCAATGGGGGTACTGGGTCCAGGAGGGCTTCTCAAGCCAGACAAAATACATCTTCTACAAGTTCTGACTTGCTCTGATATTTCCTTACAAAGGTTCGGAAACGTTCTAGAAGGAGGTGACTAGGAGGCATCTTAGCTCAGGTAGTTCAGAAATCCAACTAACTCCTTTTGATGGGGAACAGCGGCTGTTCTAATACCCCAAGCTGTTACTGGACAGTGGAGCTCTTTACCAGTGCACTACATTGGAACTGGGACAGCAGTAGCTCAGGTGGTAGAGCGGGTTGCCTCATTATCGGAGGGTCATGGGTTCGATTCCGGCTCCCGCCAGGGGTACCCTGCTGTTGTGTCCTTGGGCAAGACACTTCACCCAACTTGCCTGTGTTAGTGGTGGTCAGAGGGGCCGACGGCGCCAAATGGCAGCCTCGCCTCTGTCAGACCTCCCCAGGGCGGCTGTGGCTACAAGTAGCTTACCATCACT